CCGCCCCCCCCCCCCCAGCCTTCCGGGGCCCCCCAGGCCCGCCAGTACAAAATGGCTGCCAGCCAAAAGACCTAGGGACCTAGGGGACAAGTCCTTTTTTGTTTTTTTTTTTTTTTGTGCTCAACAACTTTGGTCTCCCTCCCCTTTTTTCCCCCTTCAACAGAATTTTTTCCCATTTTTTGGAGGGGAGGGGAGGTATTTGGTATTTTTGTTTCAACCATCTGGCAACCCTACTCCCATGACCCCACCACTCTGTTACCCGTGTGCTCTGCGGTGCCCACCTGTCCCTGCCGCGGGCTCCAGGTGCAACCTGGCGAATTTAGGCCCTTTTCCGGTTTCTAGGCCCCCACCCCTGAGCAACGTAGCCTGAGGGATTGTGGGTCCCTGGCGTAGCAGCAGCCGGGGTCACCCCCCACTCTCACACTCACTGCATGTGTGGCAGGAGCTGGAGCAGCTGGGCAGCCTACTCCTTTTCGCTCCGCCACACTGCCCTCCTGGTCTGCTGCGCCTCGCTTCTCCGCGGCAGCCCTGGGGCCGGAGAGCTCTGCTTCCTGCCACCGTGGCAAAGCGCAGCACAGGCGCTGGGAGAGGGCTGAGCGGGTGCCTCCTGTCCATGGGATGGCTGGGACAGCTGCTGCAAAGCCCCCAAAAGCACAGGGTCTGGGGCAGCTGCCCTGAACCATCCTATGGACGGGCCAGCTCTGGCCTCAGGCCTCACACTTCGGTACAGAATTACGGCTGCAGCCCGGGGCCTGGTGCAGCACCATCTACCCTGGCCCCTCTGGCTGGTCCAACTCGCCTTAGCCGACTCGGCCCGTTGGATGGCGACTCAGATGGCCCTGCTGGGCGTGGGAGCAATTCCTCAGCCCGCTGGGAGCCGACGCTCCCCCCACGGCACAGCCACTTTGCAGAGGGGTCGGAGCGGAGCCAGAAGGACCAGTGAAGGGTTCAAACCTGCCTCGCAGCAGAGGCCTCAGGGAGGCTCAGCCCCGTTAGCCCAGCAGAGACGGGCCCGGGGGGGCCTGATCATGGTGGATAAGCCTGTACTCAGGGAACAAACATTTCCTACCGGGCTCTGCAGTCTAGCCGAGCCAGGGCTGCCAGGGCCCAATGGCCGGACGCTGAAGTTAGATACAGGCAGCGGGGAACCACAGGGCCCGGGGTGGTGATAGATCCATCGTCGCTGGCTGGTTGTCCCAGTGAGCTCTGCTGTAGGAATTGAAATCTGTGCAGAACCCATTTCAGCCCAACTGCCTGAGACTCCGGCATGGGACGAGGCAGACCAGAGATCCCCAGCCAGGGCAAGAACCCTGTTACTCCTGGCTGGGCCGGAGTGGGGCTTTTACCAGGAGAAGCCAGGCTGCGAGCGATGGGAAACCCGCCTGCGGTTGTGAGCGTTCTTCCCCTCCCTGGGAAAACCCGGGGCCCTCTCTCTACTCTGGGTGTGTCCAGCACCAGCTTCCAGGCCTGGGAACTCATCGAGAGTCACCAGCCCCTCCCCATTCTCGAGCGTTCTTCCCCTCCCTGGGAAAACCCGGGGCCCTCTCTCTACTCTGGGTGTGTCCAGCACCAGCTTCCAGGCCTGGGAACTCATCGAGAGTCACCAGCCCCTCCGAATTCTCTTCCCGCATGGGTCCCGCCAGCCCATCATCAGGTCCCCCGCCAGCAGCAGCCCCTGGGCGTGTGGGTGTCTGGCTCGGTGTGCGTGTGAGGGCTGCTCCACTGGAGTAACCGCATGTCCGCCGGCCTGGCCCGCAGGTCCTGGGCCACGCTGTACTGCGT